TTTGGGAGTCCTCCTGGAGCTCATCAGCATTGATGCATCATCTGGCTACTCTGAAGACAGTTGCAGCAGTTTATAATGCCCAGCCTTTGACACAGTGTCTTCATCTTTCTGTGTATGGTCTTTTATGTTTTGTAGACACTTTCTGCATGATTTCACTCTTGATCTATTGTCTTCTTCCAGGCCAAAAGCATATCTCTAAGAGCAGAGCATCCTCATCAGGCAGTTGTGTCCAAGAAACTGGAAGTTTTTCTTTATTGCTGGATCAAAACCAGTCACGTTTCCACCACTGCCTGCCTGATCTTTCTCATTCCAACACCTCCCCGTTTGAGGGCCAGCAATCGTTTGGAGTGTTTAATTCCCTGGGCAGGACTCCCAGCCGCTGGTCTTCTTGAAGATTCATCTCTGCACTTCATAGACTGGGACCAAAACCTGATTTTTGTGTGTGTGTCAGACAATTCCCCTGTGTCGCTCTAACGTCATCAGACAGCTCCAGGCTGTCTGCGTGACAGGGATCCTCCGTGCATGGGTCTGCTCAGAAAGATGAAACACTTTGCTTTGCTCATTTTGCTGCCTCCTCTCTTTATGTCTGAGCGCTTTTCTTCCTCCTGTGGGAGACGGCATTGTGCTCCTGAGAGCGCGGTTCTGACGTTGCGTTGCTGCTGAAGGTGGGGGCTGCCTTGGCTGAGATCCTCTCCCAGTTCGGTGGATCAGCAGCGGCATCGAACCGCAGCCCCCGTTCCCTCTCGGGCACCTGGCGCCCGGGGTCTCTGGCTGCTGCGGGTAGGCTGCGAGTGCTGGTGTTGGCTCTCCCTTCCCACTGTGGAACAGCGGCTTGAACCACTGGTTTGCTCACTGTTGATGGGAGCTCACCTCCCTGTAGGTATCAACGCAGGCTCGGCGCCAGGCTCTGTGATCTCAGTATGCGCGGTTTATCATGCCATATTGACTCAGCGCTACTTTGAAGCTGAAAAAGAACTGAAAATCTTCATGCCTTCTTCTCGGTGAGCTAACCTGTGTATCAGATGTTCTTCTCTTTGTATTTTGAATTTTTCAAGAGCAACTGTTAGAGAAACTTCACTCAGATGAGTGTTCAGCCAAAGTTGTTTGCAGTTGCGGAGTTTGTAGTTCATCTTCTTGGGTATCACCAGGAACCAGGAGTGAATCAGGATTTCATATTTTTCAGAAACTGGTTTTTTTTTTTCCCTAGACATTCTTGCATAGTGCAAGCAACTGTCTGACCAGTCTCCCCTGCGGTCAGCTTTACTGTACAGCATTTATTCTTGACCTCCTGTATCGTTTCAGCCTCCTGACTGCTTTTCTTATCTGCTTTCTGCAAGACGCCGTTCTGGTTGGTCAGGTGGAGCTGCAGTTTCCTGGGGTTTGAGCTCCTGCTTGGTTTTACTCCATCTTTCACAGAAAAGGCCTGGCAATGTGGGACCGATACTTTGAGGTTGTCACTGAAAGACCTTTAATGTGCTCTTCCCTCTATTTTAAACTGCAGCAGGGATGTTATTTTTTTCCCATAGGATAAGTTCCATTCACACTCCAGTGACCAAGCTTTCCTTTGCAGGCTTTGTAACCTAACCCAGCTCTGGCACGTTTCTGGCTGGTTTGGTTGTGGCTTTGGGTCGAGGTCCTTCTGGCCAGGGGTGCTTCAGAGAGTCACAGGGTCAAGTCGGCAGTCCCAGGCAAGCGTGGCACTGAGACTTTACACTTGCTGGCCAGTGTCATGTTTTTCTTGTCTTTCACGGCTGGCCCTTAGCGTGCTTCGTGAAGCCGGTGTTGCTCTCACCGCTGCTGCTTTTTCGTGCTCCGGACGGTCAAGGAGTGCCCAGCGGTGGATGAAGTTGCACAATACAGGCTAAGCTGACGTCTTATGGCTTTTGTAGGAGTTGTCGATCTATGGGCACATTTGGAACACATTGGGCAAAAAGCTGTCTGACCACGTTGGTACCTTTTTCCTCATCCCTGATCTCACCAAGTTATAACCAATTGAAAAATCAACATTTTCCATCTGTTACTTGACTGTCGGCAAAAACGCCAACAGTCCGCCAGAACACCAACGGGATGCGGTGCTCGGGCCGTGCTTCTGCCAGGCAGTGCCACAGCAGCCGGTGCTCGCGCTCCTGGGGACCACGCGCCCTGGCTCGTGCCACCAGCGCTGCCCAGGATGGAGCAGAGGGAGCAGGTCCCATCTTGCCAGCCCGCAGGGTCAAACCTCCCACTCCTGCTGCTCTGCATTTGAGTAACCTAAAAAATCTGAACTGCTGCCCGTTTGGGTGGACAAGTTTGGATGATTAAAAATGAAACAGAAAGCACAGGCATCTTCCGTCGGTATTTCTGTTCTTTATTTGGAAGGGAGCAGGGTGGTGGTCATGTGTCACACGCAGATGATGAAACGCTTTCCAAGCCATTAGTAACTGAAGCGGTAAGCATCTGCCAGGTGGTAATTTTTCAGTATTTGCATTTTGTGATTGTATGATGCTGGGTAATGCCAGGAGACTGGCAGAGCGCTGACGTTCAGAAGGGGCAAGGGGACGATCCAATTAATTATAAACCTGTGAGTCTGATATCAGTTGCTGGCAAAAAATAAACAATCAGATACTGTAGGCAGTTGATAAAGAGTTAAAGAGTAGAATAAAATCACCAGCCGAAAGCCCCACCAAACAAATTTCATTTCATTCTTTGAGGTGTCGGATTTATTTGATAGAGGTAACTGTTAAGATGGAATAGATTTTGTTTACCACTGTATAACATCCCCATTACAAAAGCCGCGGTGCATGAAACCAGCGGAGCTCCTGGGAAGCGGTTCACAAATGTGCCGGGTGAGGGGTCCTGGCCGGTACCTGTCAGCGAGTTGCCCCGCGGGCCGGCCTTTCTGGTGGGTCTCTCCAGGACGTGGCTCAGGACCTGCTGCTGCTCGGTGCTTTCACGCGCGTTCTAGAAATGAACCTGAAATCACGGCTAATAAATACCAGGCGTGCAGGGGGCAGCGGGCCGCGGCGCTGGGGATGCGCCGCGCGGGCCGGGGCTCCGCTGTGCGACGGGGCTTTGGAAAACTAAAGGGCTTGCGAAGACAAACTGCTGAAGTGGTTTAGGATCAGGAGGAAAAACAGGATAGCCATGCTCCAGGATTCAATCCGTTCCATCCAGTTCGTCCAAAAAAAAGATTAAGAGGTGATTTAACTAGAGTAGGCTGGTAATTTCATCGAAATCAAATTTTCTGAGGAAAACGTGTGTTTCCATGCAAATTGAATAATTGTTGAATCCATTATAATCAAAATTGAATCAATTGAGTAATTGAATATCTGAAATAAAATTATTATTTCAAAAGCTTCGCATCTTAGAAAACGTTGATGTGCCATTTCAGAATGTAGTTCAACCCTTTTTTCACTTACATTTTTTACAGTTTTTCATAGAAAACAGCACTACAGCTCATGTATTGCAAATGTTATAACTTACATACTTTTAATTATTTAAACAACAGTTCAGTCTGCCCTAAAGATGAAACATCTCCAGCTGGAGTTGAAACACATAAAACGCAAACGTTCTTGAAATGCTGGCGGGTCAGCCTGCTGTACTTGCGATCCCGCGCGCCCCGGTGCAGGGACGATGCCGGTAGCGAGGGAGGTGGGACTGCGCCTGAGGAAGGGTAGCACAAGGGCCTGGGTCTGAAAACAGATTTCTTGATAGTAATATGGGAATGGGTTTTGGATTTTTTTTTAAGCGGTGGGAATTACTAAGCATTTGCAGGAAACCTGCAGAGGAAAGGCTGAATTCTCCATCTCCTGGTGTCTTTGAGACCTGAAGCTGGTGGCATGCAACAGCTTAGCTATAATGCTTCTGGTCTTGAACTTAGGAAGACAAAATTAATGTTGCATGGACAACCTAAATCCTGTCATTACCTGTCTTTTGAGTGCTCCGCTTCTGGGAACAAAAATATTAACGTAAATATTAACGCAAGTGCTTCTATAGCTATTGCCCACAGATAATCACTTGTCTCTTATTTGCCGTCAGTGTTATCTTAGGCCTAGAGCAGCAGCAGTTCTGGAGCGCGCGGCACATCTCAGCAGTGACTGCCAAGTGTGCAAACACCTCTGGGTCCTTTACAAAGCGGGGAACTAAGCCACAAAAGTCGAAACCAGTTTTTCCAGCGGTGAAGCGTCTGAACTGTGGCATCCTCATCCCCGTTACACCTCAAGCTCAGTTACCCAAAGCGAGGGTCCAGCTGTTAATGCCCCATGGAGACCCTTGTGTTCGTTGCTGCTTGGTAGATGCCGAGTACTGAGGTTGCATTTCCCAGTTTATTTCTTGGTTTTGTGTCTTGGGGATGGCCTAGCCTGCCATCACAGCCCAGCGCTTGTTGTCCAGGAAGCTAATAGGTTACGCTAGCACTAAAAACGACGACAGGAATGAGCTTCAGCATGTGTCCCGTAGAGCCCTGGAAGGAGTCGATCAGCGTGTCGATAGCCAGGGGAGCAGATAAGCGTCTCCGTCTGTACGCCATGCGTGGCTGCTGGTGGGGACAGGGTGGCTGAGCTGTTCAGGGCAATCTCTGCACGCCGCTCCGCACGGGTGCCTGTGCTCTTCCAGCGCCTCTTGCGGACCTGCGGCACAACTGGAGATCTGCGGATCCAGGAGCCTCCCCTGCGGTTACCGAATACCCAGGCAGAACCAGGAACGGCTCAGTTTTTAGTGATCTGCCTTGATGGCCCAGTGGGAAGGGGGAGGTCCAGCTCTTGCCACCTGGCTGCAGCCCTGGTGTGCACTGGTTTGCACTGGCCTGTTGCAGGTTCCTCAGCTTCTCCAGAAGGTTGAGGTCACCAGTAGGTGACACCCCACAGGGACAGCTTAAATATGAAAATGTGCTAGGCTGTAAAAACAGACGCAGAGATGCAAAATCATCTGTTTTGTGGCTTGACATCCGTCAGTCTTGCCCTCTGCCTGCTCTCTTTGTGGCAGCCAGCCTTCTCACTGCTCTCTTTCTCTGTGTCCCCTAGGTGAATGGTGTCAACGTGGTGAAGGTGGGGCACAAGCAGGTGGTCTCCTTGATCCGGCAAGGGGGGAACCACCTGGTGATGAAAGTTGTTTCCGTCAGCCGCAAGCCAGAATCAGAAGAAGTTGTTCGGAAGAAGGGTAAGTGTGGAGTCTCGTGGTTCTCTGAACAGGGGGTTGCGTCGCCTCAATGTGAGCAGGCGTGCCGAAGCCTGAGGGTCTGCCAGGAGGAGCCCGGCACGGGTGGATGGCCATGAGGCTGCCGAGCTGCAGCTGGGGAGGAAGGAGGGCACCGCGAGGGGAAGACCTGCCCGTCCCGGCACAGAGCCCTCCGCACACACAGCACTGCCACACGAGGACGCGCCGGTGCCCGGCGGCTGCGGCTGGGAGCGGTGCAGGGAGGATGGGGACAGCGGTCAGGTGGAGGGGCTGCGGTAGGGCACTGACACTGACACTGACACTGGGGGAGCCGGGCGCAGCCAGCGGCTGCTGGCCAGGCCTCCTGCAGGTCCCATCCACGGCCAGGCTGCGGGACAGCTGTGTTCTCACACTGGAGCTGTGTGTGCTCAGCGAAGGTTGGAGCCGGCTCCTCCTCGGGAACAGAGCTGCTTCTGGCACCCGCAGCCCGTGGTGCCCGCGGCAGGCTGTGCTGGAGAGCAGAGACTCCCCCTGCCCTGCGCGGGGACGCGGTGGGGGTCTGCCCCTGCTTCAGGGTGCATGGGGGTGTTATGGTGGGGAACTGGCCCCGCTGTGCGAGGCGGGCTGGGATGGAGAGCTGCCCCTGCTAATGTGGGGCTGTCAGGGTGGAGCACTGTCCCTGTGGGGAAGGGGGGAGTCGGGGCGGAGGATGGTGCCTACAGGAGCGCAGAGGGTGTCAGCATGGAGGATAGCCCCCATGGCAGTGGGGAGCGCCAGGGTGGAGCCTGTCCTCTCTCGGGAATTCCGTGGCTGGGAACAGCCCCATGGGCTGGGAGCTCCTAGGGGCACAGCCAGTCCTGGGGCTGCCGGCCGTGTGTGGGACTTGCCCTCACTCAGGGGCGGGCAGGCGGCCGTGGGGCCCCCAGAAGGCTCTGGGCCTTCACCCCGTTGTCCCTGGGCCCCGAGGGCAGAGCCAAGACCCTCGGCCAGAGGTGGGGCCTGGGGGAAGTTTGGCGGTGGGCTGATGCGCTGGTGGCCAGTGGGGCAGGGCAGCCCTCGGGGTAGGGGCAGCCAGCTGAGGAGGGCAGGGACACATCTGGAGGGCAGCTGGATGGGAGGCAGCCAGCTGTGTGCAGGGGGGGCGGATCGTGTCATACAGCTGTGGAGGGCAGGGGCACATCTGAGGACAGCCAGCTAGGGAGGCTGGGGGCACATCTGGGAGCAGCTGGCTGTGGAGGGTAGGACCTCATCCAGGGGCAGCCAGAGGTGGAGGGCAGGGGCTGGCGGTGGAAGGCAGGGGCACATCTGGCAGCAGCTCTCTGTGGAGTATAGGACCTCATCCATAGGCACCCAGCTGCGGGAGGCAGGGGCAGACCTGGGAGCAGCCGGCAGCATGGGGCAGGCTGTGGGGCAGGAGCGTTTCCTGGGGGAGCGTGGCTGGGCGCCGGCGCGGGGGGACGGGAGCGGGG